CCGACGACCGACGACCGACGACCGACGACGACGACGACGACGACGACGACGACGACGACGACGACGACGACGACGACGACGACGACGACGACGACGACGACGACGACGACGACTACGACTACGACTACCGACCGACCGACCGACCGACCGAGACGACCGGCCGACCGACGACGACCGACGACTGACGACTGACGACTGGACCGACCGACCGACCGACACGACGACGATCGACGACGACGAGGACCGACGGACCGACAGACCGACCGGCCGACCACCCACGACCAAACCGACCGAGCGACCGACCGCACGCGCGCGAACGCGCGCGCACTGGCCCGCTTGAGAGCGAGGCGCGAATACAATCCTGGGAGCCGCGCCCCCGGGCCCGATCGCTCCTCCATCCCCACGCCCCAGTGATATACCGTTGACGCCAAGCTGTTACGAAGGAACGATTGTTCCAGCTGCTCATGCCGAGAAGACGAGTGCGTTCCAGCCCCTTACTGTTACGAGGGAGACTGGTCCAGGCGCCCACGGTGTCGATTCCAGCTCTCAAGATGTATGCGGGAAACTGTTTCAGCCGCTTCCTGGCAAACTCACACGAGCAAGTCAGTCCACTGGCTGGCACGCCAGTGGGCTATTTTTATTGGCAGTAGAACTGTGTAACGAGCGTGCATATCTGATCGGGAGTGCTTGGGGACCAAACACGGAGCCCAATTAGAGCCATCTCTTACGATGCCGATCGACGACGGCAACCGACCAGCCGACGGACCCATGACAACCGACAGACGACAGGCCAGCGGATCGAGCGACCGACCGACTACCGATGACGACGACGACGACGACGACGACGACGACGACAACGACGACGACGACGACGACGGCGACGGCGCGACGGCGACGGCGACGGCGACGGCGACAGCGACGGCGACGGCGACGGCGACGGCGACAGCGACGGCGACGGCGACGGCGACGACGAGGACGACGACGACCGACCGACCGACCGATCGACCGACCGACGACGACGACTACGACGGCGACGACCGACCGACCGACCGACCGAGCGACCCACCGACCGACGACCGACTGACCGAGTGACCAAGACGACGACCGAAGACGACCGCCGACCGACCAGCCAACCGACGGACGACCGCCGAACGGACCGCCCGACCAGTCGACCGACCGACGACGACGACCGACGACGACGAGGACCGAAGAACCGACACCGACCGACCGAACGACGACCGACGACGACGATCGATCGACGGCGACCACGGCGACGACGACACCGACCGACCGACCGACCGACCGACCGACCGACCGACACGACGACGACGACCGACGAGGACGAGGACCGACAACTGAACCGCCCGAACGACCGACGGACCGACTGAGACGACGACGACGAGGACCGACGGACCGACACACCGACCGACCGAACGACGACCGACGACCGGACCGACCGAAGGACCGACCGCACGCGAACAAGTGCGCCCGCATTGGACACGTCTGAGGGCGAGGCGTGTGAAGCTGCATATCGTATCGGGAGTGTGTGAGCCAATAATGGAGCTAAACGGGAGCCACCTCTTACGATGCCGACCGACGAAGGCAACCGACCGGCCGACAGACCCGCGACAACCGACCGACCGACAGGCCGACGGATCGAACGACTGACCGACTACCGACGACGTCGACGACCGACCGACCGAGCGACCGAGCGACCGACCAACCCACCGACCGGCCGACCTACAAAAGGGAGCTGGCAAAATACGCGCTGGTCGTTTAAAGCAGGTACCTTTGCATTCCCAGATCCCAACCTGCCGCAAGCGCCTTCCTGCTTCAGGAGTCGATCTGCTTTTGCTGTGTTCTGTCGTTCTCTGGGAAGGCCTGAACCCAATCTGGTTCATCCGCCTTCCTGCTTCATGTCTTTGCCTGCTTCTCCCGACCTCGGCTGCTCTGATGCGCACGTGTTGAGACGCAACGCGTGCCGTGTCCAGAAACGTCCGTGCTCAAAACGTGCGCGTTCGGTCCACGTGTTGGGCTCCGTTCCAACACGCCACGTGTTGCGTGCTGCGCATCGGGGCAGCTGGGCGGACGCCCGACCAGCGCGCAGTCGCCTGGCAGAGCAGCCCGCCGACCGCAGGAGGGCCCGGTCCTCCCCGCGCCCTCGGCGCGGAGGCCAGGGCGGAGGCCTGCGCGCCGCCCTCGGGGCCCCGGGGTCGTCAGCAAGACGATCCTCGGCCCCGCGCAGAGGGGGGCCCGGGGGGAGGGGGGAAGGCTCCTTGGAAGCACCCTGCTTCCGAGAAGGCGCGGGCCTGAGCTACAGATGTAGGGCCGGCGCCCTCTGAGAAGCAGCCCGCCTCTGAGAAGCCCCCCCCCCCCCTCCCCTTGCCCCCTTGTGCGAGCCGCCAAGGCCCGGAGTGCAAGCCAGGCCCCCTGGAGGGGGGCCGAGATTCTGATCTAGGGATCGTGCGTTGAGAAACAATCATCGAGTAGGGGATCGACGACATAATTGATTCACCCCAAAGTATAGTTTCTTTTCGAGCCTACAAAGAATACTAGACTGGTCGTAGACATACGCACATTCTATCCTTCTTGAATGGGCTCGACGAGACAATCAAGTTTGGGGTTAATCAATTCTGTAGCTGACCCCCTACTCGAGATCATGGCATCCAGACGATCTGGAGCCGTGGGGGTCGTCCGACGTCGTCGCGTCGAGGCCGTCGTCGTTGTGGTGGCCGCACCGCGGCCTCGCCGCGGCGCCACGACCACCTGGGCCCCGAGCTCCCACGGCTTGCAGGAGACGCCTGGGCGGAGGCGCTCCGCGCCCCTCTCGGCCCCCCCTCGCGGCGCCAGCAGGACGATCCGGTGTGAAAGCCCGGCCCTGGCCGAGGGCTTGGGAGGGACTCGAGAGGCCCACGGGGCCACGGCCTCGGAGTGGCCCAGGCTCGGCCCCCTGCCAGCGGCTCCGAGAGTCTGCGCCCTGGCTGCTCGAGGAGGAGGAGGAGGAGGAGGAGGAGGAGGAGGAGGAGGAGGAGGAGGCGGAGGAGGAGGAGGAGGAGGCGGAGGAGGAGGAGGAGGAGGAGGAGGAGAGGAGGAGGAGGAGGGACGAGGAGGAGGAGGAGGAGGAGGAGGGAGCCCGGAGGAGGGCCCGAGGGAGGCGCCCGGCCTCCAGGACCCGCGCCGCGCTGTCGCGGGCGGACGCTGTGGCCGGCCGGCCCGGCTCCCTGGGCGGCGTGCTCGGGGGCCTCGGCACCGCCGGCGCGGCCCGCCGGTGAGGGCGGCGCGCCCCACGTCGAGGAAGGACAAAACGCCATAAGGCAAGCGGTGGCGAAGCGTCCTGGCTCGCCTATGGCCCTACCAGGCAGTGTTCTGAGAGCCTTTTGTGGTTCCCACGAGAGGTTTTTCAGAACATTTCTGGCTGGGGGCGTCTCGTTTCAACGCGTCGGGCTTGTGTTCTAAGAGCACTGCTCCCTGCCTAGGCTCTGCCTAGAAGGGTTCTTACTCTCTGAGCTTAAAGGGGCCGGGCAGGAGGGCTCGCCCCGGGCGGTTCCCCCAGGATCCGCCCCGCGGTTCCCCCAGTTACGTCCCCTTAGCTTAGCGTTGCTTATATCATCTTAGCTTATCGTATTTCATCTTAGCTTAGCTTAGCTTCATCTTAGATCAGGCTTATCTTAGCTTAGCTTACATTCATCTTAACATCGCTGAGCTTTAGCATAGCAGAGCACAGCATAGCATAGCATAGCATAGCGTAGCATAGCTCAGCGCAGCGCAGCATATCATCGCATAGCCCAGCATAGCATAGCATAGCATAGCATAGCGCAGCATAACATAGCATAGCATAGCGCAGCACACCACAGCACAGTACAGCACAGCATAGCACAGCGCAGCATAGCATAGCATAGCATAGCAGAGCATAGCATAGCATAGCAGCAAAGCAAAGGCAACGCAACAGCAGCGACAGCAAAGCAAAGCACAAGCAACGCAAAGCAAAGCAAAGCAAAAGCATCAGCAAATCAAAGGAAAGGCACAGCAAAACAATGTGCGACAGATGCCGAGCTAACCTCGATGGCCGGGTTAGCTTAGAGGGTTAGCTTAGCTTAGCTTAGCATAGCGCAGCGCTGCATTAGCATAGCATATCATAACATAGCCAAGCACAGCACAACATAGCATAGCATAGCGCAGCCTATCATAATATATCATATCATATCATAGCATAGCATCGCGCAGCTTAGCATAGCATATCATAGCATATCACAGCGCATCATGCCATATCATAGCTTATCCTAGCATATCATAGCATAGCATAGCATAGCATAGCGCAGCATAACATATCATGTCATAACATAGCATAGCATAGCATAGCGCAGCATAGCAAGGCAAACCATAGCATAACATAGCATATCATAGCAACTAATGCTGCTTTGCTAGGGGCTCGAACTTCTAGGTAGGGTCGCACTGGGGTATGTTTTAATCTTTGATTGTTATATCTCTTGCTTCGTTGAGGCCCGCCTCTGGCAGCTTGCCTGTCTGTAACTATTTCGCTCAAGTCTTGAGGGCCGATGTGGCAGCAGCGTCTCCAAGATTTAGCTGTCAACGGCCTGCTTTCGTACCTCAGCAGGTGCCCAGCAGCTCCTCCCTGTCCCCCGCGGTGCCAGCCTGCCCCGCGTCAGCTGCAGTCACTTGCGGATCGTGTCCGCCTTGCCCAGGCTGTCCTGCTCTGAGCTGTGGGAGGCAGCCCGAGGTGACTGAGTGCCCGTCGACGGCACCATCGACTCCGTGCGCCTGGGCTTTCTGGCTGACGGTGGGCATTCTCATCGGCGTTGTGGTGAGTTGGGCCGCAGTGCTGGCCTTTGGAGTCCTACGAGGGTTGCTCAGCCGTATTCGTGAAGTGTTTGGCGGCTCGTCGGACTCGGCTTCTTCAGTGACGGTCGGTTCTCACAATGGACACGTTAGACATCCCAGAACCCCAAGTACTCGTGCACGACCCCAATGATGAGGGACGCATGTTCTGGCATCACCGTATTCTAGTGAAGAAGAAGATCACAGCGGGGGTGTGGATAGCTATCACCCCCGACCTAGAGCTTGTGCGTCATAACTTCCTAGAGCAGCGCCACCTCGTCCTGGACCGCAATTCGATGTTCCCTGCGAATCGTCGGGGTGAGGTGTATGGCTTCGACCCTGTGCCTAGAGCTAAGATTCTGGCTCTGAAAAGGCAAGCCGCAGTTCAGGCGGCAATATTGGGCGACGGCGACCATGACGTTGAGATGGAGAACTTCGTTTGGGTCGTCGCGGAGGTAGGTCACTCACGGTTTGCCCAGCCCCTGGTCGATGCAGAGTTGGACCAGGCTTCCTTGGGGCATTCCAAGGGCGTGGCGCTGGTGAGCGGCCTCGAGGTGTTCGTAGAGAAGGTTTAGGGCAATCAGTTGCAGGAGTGGATGACCTCACGCAGCTCGGAGGGTGGAGACCTCCGCACCTTGGGCGACCATCGGGACTCCGCAGGCCGCTGTCATCTGCCGCTTTCAGACGCTGTATCCCTGATGCGCGAGACGAGCTTCGACGATTGGGCCATGCCTGGACCGCGAGTCGCCAAGGAGTGGCTCGTTTCAGTTCGGGATGGCCCTGGAGATCTTTCTTCTTATCACGGACAGTGGGTTCGCCGTTCGGGAGTCAGCGAGTCCTCGGCGGTGGCCCACATTCATTACGTGCTGTGCGAGTCGGTTCGGCTGGCCATTCAGACAGACCAGCTCGACGTGACCAACTTGTTGAGTTTCGAACTCATCATGCGCAGGATCTGCCAGGACGAGACCGCGGTGGCTCGCAACCCTCGCCATCCTGACTACGGTGGGCTGGAGATTTTGCTTCGCGCTCCAACCGCCGAACAAGGCCAGGCGAGCACGAACAGGTTCACGGAGTGGGTCACGAGCCGTCTCAAGGAGCAGGCCGCGATCTACAAGCAGACTCGGTTGTGGGACGAGGAGCAGCGGGCCATGCAGAACTCTCGTGCCCCCGCAGACTCAGGCCGAGGACGAGGCCGCGGTCGCGGGCGCGGCCGAGGTGAGAAGGGGAGCAAGGACGAGGAGGAGGCCCCGGGGTGACCGCGGCCTTCCGGGCCGAGTCTGATCCCCAAGCTCGGCCCGACGCTCCTGCTACGGATCGGGGATATACTACCCGGCGGAGGCCCTCAAGACGGAGGCACGGGGACCCTTTCCCTCTGCCGCATGTTTTGCCCTCTCAGCTCGACAGCTCGGGCTTGGGCCTTGAGCAGCGACAGCGAGTGCTCTCGGCGCGGGCTTCGCTCAACCATCTCGCTGCTGCTCAACCGAATTCAGATAGTGTTTGCCAGGCTCGCCAGTCATCTCGGGCCCCGACTGCCGTTCAGGAATGGATCCTGGACAGCATCACGGAGCGCGTTGCCGCTGTGGGGCCCCCCCGCCTGGCCTGACGGCCGAGGGGGCCGCTCGCGAGTTGCTGGCTTCTAAGGACCTGTACTGCCAGGAGCCGAAGAACCTCGCGCCGTTCGATCTGACAAAGCTCAAGGTCGCAAAGGGGCGCGCTCGACCTCGCTCTGCGGCTAACTTCTTGCCGCCTTTGCCCGCGGACATGATCCGCAACCCTGCACTGTGCATCGAGAAGGACGAGGGGGAGATGGAGTTCACGCGCCAGCACACCGATCCTATTCGTCCTTACTGGGATCCTGTGCTTCGCTCGAGTCGGACAGAGCGTTGGCGACTCTTCAGGGTGTTGTATGAGCTAGGGCTGATAACTTTCAGGCGCCGTCTTCGGGCTCGTGCTGCCCTCTTCTTTGTGAAGAAAAAGAAGCCAGGTGAGATTAGAATGATTGTGGATGCTAGACAGGCCAATTCGTGTCATCGTGCCCCTCCGACTTCAAGACTCGGCTCAGCTGGGGCTTTTGCAGACCTCGACCTCTCCGTGGGTGGCGAGTCCGTCGACGGTGTCGGCAGCGTGATAGGCTGGGACCCCCACGGGAACGAGGCCGATGTCGAGGACTGCTTCTACAACTTCGCCATCGATGGCTTGGCGGAGTGGTTCGGTTTCGACGACCCGCTGCCCGCCGCCGAGATCAGGGACACGCACGGCATCAATGTCGGAGCATTCTGGGACCCCGAGCTGAACACGATGGTCTCCGTGGAGGACGACATGGTCTTGTATCCGTGCATGCGCGCTATGTGCATGGGGTGGTCCTGGGCTCTGTACTTTGCGCAGGAGGCTGTATCCGCTATGACAGAGCGGGCGCTGCGCTCGTCGTCTCTGCCGACGCCTGCCATGGTGAAGGAGCATCATCCCGCCCCCGACTTGAATGAGTCTGAGGTCATGGGAAGCGTCTACGTGGACAACATCACTGTCTTCGGCAGGGGCGCTTCTCTGGCTCGTGAGGCGAGCTCCGCCCTGCAGGCCGAAGCTGACCGATCTGGTTTGCCTATCACGTGGTCCTATCCTGATGTGGTGACCCACCTCGAGACCGCGGGCGTTGAGACCGACCTCAGGAATGGGAAGCTTCGCAACAAGGCCTCGCGAGTGTGGCGGTTTGACTTGGCCACCCGCGCTCTCCTGCGTCGTGGCAAGATGCGAGGAGAGCGCATGGAGGTCTGGCTGGGCCACGCTGTATCGCTGCTGATGCTGGCCAGGCCTGGGTACGCCGCGCTCTCAGCCACGTGCCGGTTCGCCGAGACCGCCTGGGGTGTTCGGACCCCTCTGCCGCGCGAGGTCATGCACGAGATGAGGCTGGTCGCTGGGCTGGTCTGGCTCGCTGAGGTCGACCTGGCGGCGCCCTACGTGCCGCACGTCTATGCCAGCGACTCCGCGGACAACGGGTACGGCCTGATGTACAAGAAGGCCACGGTCGAGGAGATGCAGTCGGCCTTCCGCTGGAAGGAGAAGTGGAGCTTCAGGCAGCACCTCCGAGGCCCCCGCGTTGGTCTGACTTCGGCCGCTGATGTCGCTGAGATGGGCGGCTACAAGGAAGCAGACGAGACGCAGCTGGATCACGAGGTGGAGCCCCGTTGCCGCTCCGCCGAGCCGAACGCTGGCTCCGCCCCTGCCACGGCCTTCGGCCAGAGGCTGCAGAGCAAGGCCGAGGAGGGCTCTGCCCTCGACAGACCTCATCGGCCTCGCCCTCGCCGTCTGCGACGGCGCCCAGCCGACCCTGACGATCCCGACGCCGAGTGCCTCGGTCAGGTGGGCCCCCTGGCGCCGCCGCTGCCCGCCCCCTGGTTCGACTCGGAGGGCTTCAAGCTGGTAGCAGCAAGGCGCTGGCGCTGGCCTGGAGAGCACATCAATGTGAAGGAGACCCGCGCTGCAGTGATGGGGCTGCGGCATGCCTGTTGCGTTCGCCAGAATTGCGGACGCCGCCTAGTTTCTCTCGTGGACTCCATAGTATGTGTTGGCTGCCTGGACAAAGGGCGGTCCAGCCGCTCAGCAGCTCTGAACGCACAGTGCCGGCGAGCTGCGGCCTACACAGTCGGTTGTAGAGTGCGTTGGAGGCTGCGGTATGACAGCGCGAAGTTTAACGTGGCCGACGCTCCATCTCGTCGGTTCGAGCACAACTCCCCCGACAAAGGATGCAACAGACAGAGTTCGACAGACATGGCATCATCTTCTCCCTCTTACTCCCCTCTGAACGCTGTAGTCAAGACGGGCAGCCTGCCCCCTGGACTCGGTCTCGCAGGGCATCCGCCCGCCGCGGCCGAGAGCGACAAGCATCTGGGTTTGCAGCCTCCCGAGGAAATCGAAGCTTCTCTGCGTCGAGCGTCCTGTCCGTCTTCTACTTCGACACCTTCGGTGACCGGTCGGACCGCCTGTCCCCCTCTACGTCTTGGGCGCGCGCAGCTTCGGAGACGGGCCCAGCAGGGCCAGGGTTTCTTGGAGCTGTTCTCGGGCGAGGGTGGGCTCTCCAAGGCGTTCGAGGAGCTCGGCCTGTCTACTTACCCCTGCATGGACATCAAAGATGGGGCTCGCTATGACCTCCTGGACCCGAAGGTCCAGAACATCATCTTAGAGGACATCCGAAAGGGGCGCTTCTGGTATGTACATATTGGGACACCTTGTTGCGTGTGGTCTCGAGCTCGTCACGGCATCGCCAACTATGAGAAAGCCGCGTGCAAGGAGCGTGTGGGTGTAGCTCTAGCGTTGTTCAGCTGCCGCGTTGCTTATGAGTGTTCGCGGAACGGCGTCTTCTGGAGCATTGAGAATCCGAGATCTTCCAGACTTTGGGACTTCGACCCCGTTCGAGAGCTCACTGACCTTCCTGACGTTGTTCGCGTGTGTTTGGTACACTATAGTTACGGGGCCTCCCACATGAAGCCGACAGCGATTCTCACTAACCTTTCAGCCCTGAGTTCTTTAGCTTCGGTGTGCTCCAGAGATCATTCACATGTTGAGCTCAGGGGTTTCGATGCCGTGACGTTGCCATCTGGGGCTCGTGTTTCTTGCAATCGTACGGCAGGCGCTGGAGCCTACCCCCGCAGTCTTTGCCAGGCATGGGCCCTGGCCGCGGGCATGTCAGCGCCTGCGCGGGCCCGGGGCGGCTCAGGCCCGCCTGACGGCGGGGGCCTGGAGGCCCGGCTTCGCGATGCTGCGCGACGGCCGGCTTCGCGCGCCCGCGAGCGCCTCCGACCAGCTCGGCAGCGGCTTCAAGCGGAGCCTGACCTCGGGCTCGCTGGCGCCGCCGACTCAGCCGACCTCGAGAGCAGGTTTGACCCCCTGCGGCCTTTCATCGTCTTCGGTCAGGACTCCAACCTCGAAGCAGCAAGGAAGCAGGCAGCCCGCTCGAGGAAAGGCCCGAAAGGTCGCTGGCCGCCGCTCCCGCGTCTCTAGTTTCGTGGAGGCGATCAAGGGCCGCAACCTGAGCTTCGGGCCGACGGCGCCAGTCCCTGTGGATGGAGGTGTCGCCCGTTTCGGCTCGATCACCTCGACGTCGCTCGAGCGATATGGGACCGCAGTTCGCGAGTTTTTCGACTGGGCGACGCGCTCAGATGACCTCAGACAAGCTCCAGAGTCCGTTATCGATCAGAAAATGTGCAAGTACTTCGATGTTCTCATGAGTGATGCTCGACATGCCGCTGAGGGCCGGTACACACTCTGGGGGTATCTGACTTTCTTCCCACGGTCGGACATCGCCAAGTCCGCCCGCCTCGCGATGGCTCGTGAGGCGACGAAGGGCTGGGTCCGCAGGTTCCCTGGCTCCTCACGACATCCGTGGCCTCTCTCGTTTTTCTATGTGTTCATGAGTGTCTTCCTGAGGGACAATCACACCGAGGCTGCCGTCGCCCTGGCCATCCAACTAGACGCCTACCTGAGACCTTCTGAGATATGCGAACTGCGGTGGTGCTCCGTGGTTCAGCCCTCGAAGCTCTCATCTTCATTGTCAAGAAACAAGTGGGCTGTTGTCATTGGTAACTCAGACCTCGGTGAGACCACGAAGACTGGTGAGAGCGATGACACTGTAGTTCTCGACTCTATCGGCCGTGAGTGGGTCGGTTCCGTGCTTGAGATGTGGGCTAGGCGCCATAAGTCTGACACCTCTTCTGATCAGCTAGTCTTCCCGCACCTGTCTCTAGCCAAGTATGAAGCACTTTTTAGGAAATACAGTCGCTCTGTCCTCGGCAAAGTAGGGCACCTCACTCCCCACGTGGCCCGTCACTCAGCGCCCAGTCACGACATGTTGGTGCGCGCTCGCAGTCTAGCAGTTGTTCAGAAGCGCGGGCGCTGGGCCCACGCCAAGTCCGTAAAACGATACGAAAAGAGCGGCCGCCTTCTTCTCCAGGCCGCCCGTCTTCCTTCCGAGCTCGCGAGGCGAGCCACGGCTGCGGAGGCCTCCATCTTTCAGTGCTTTCAGGAGGCCCTCCAGTAATGGATCACGGTATGGGCTGTGATTGCCAAAGCCTTTGTTGAATCCTCAGGTGTACTCGTGGACCGAGTATCCCTTCGGAAGGAACCTTTTCGCTCTGCTCGCCTGGCGCATGTCAAAAAGAGAAGGTTCAAAGATATCCCCCAGCGAAGGATCTAACCAGCCTCTGGAGTGGGTCTCTGGGCCGCTGGAGAAGGGTCAGAGATGTGTTTAATCTTTGATTGTTATATCTCTTGCTTCGTTGAGGCCCGCCTCTGTCAGCTTGCCTGTCTGTAACTATTTCGCTCAAGTCTCCCTCCTCTCCCTCCCTGTGTCTGTCTGGGCTGTGATTGCCAAAGCCTTTGTTGAATCCTCAGGTGTACTCGTGGACCGAGTATCCCTTCGGAAGGAACCTTTTCGCTCTGCTCGCCTGGCGCATGTCAAAAAGAGAAGGTTCAAAGATATCCCCCAGCGAAGGATCTAACCAGCCTCTGGAGTGGGTCTCTGGGCCGCTGGAGAAGGGTCAGAGATGGTTTTGTTATTAGTACATTCTTGGGTTCTAAGAGCATTTCGTGGTAGGACTATAGGAATGCTGGGACGGTCGGTCCCTGCTCAAATGTCGAAGAAGAACCAAACGCCATAATTCGGTAGCGTTTGACCGATCCCCATCCCCATCTCCATCTCCTTCGAGACCCCCACCAAATTACCACCCCAGTTGGGGATGCACCGCTCGAAGCCCGAAGGAACGACCTATACATCCCCATCTAGGGGGGTGAATCGGCCAGCGCGGCCCAGGCCACGCCGCTGGGGATGGGGATCTGTTGAACGATACTCAATAAAGATAAACTTTCGGCGCTCCGCGCGGATTTCCTGGATCCGCGCTGGGCACCCCCGTCGGCGCCTCCTGCGCCGCCCCGAGGGGGTCCAGCGCAGATCCGAGAAATCCGCGCGGAGCGCCACAAGTTTATGTTTGTGCCGTTTTTTCTTCCTCTACCATGCTCGGAGGCGGCGATGGCTGCGAATTCAGTCGAAACCGATGATAAGGACGGGTAGCCTTCCCAGGGGTACCCTTGCATCCTTGCCGCTTCGGTCCACCCTGAACCCCCTTCGATGGTCCGCCGCGCTCGAGAGAGCTTCAACACGGGCGTCCAGGGGGCTTGCATCCTTGTCGCGCGTCCTTCCTGTCGGTTTTGGCTGTAGTCCAGGGGCGGGCATGACACGTGTTCGCCAGGGAGCGTCGCCGAAAATCCGGGACGATCGAAATGGGGATTGAGACAGTGGTTACAGTCAAACAGCAGTCCTTCCTAGTTCAATCAGGACAGGTTTCGCTGTCGGCGTCGTCGCGGTCGTTGCCTACTCGAGACAGAAGGCCGCCTGCCCAGCAGTGGCCGCTGCCGGTTGTGGACGGCATGTGATGCTGGGCAGTGTGCCCATTTGTCCGTACCATTTCGGGCGTCCAAAAACAAAGGGACCATCGGCGCCCCTGGGTACGCGTGTTGCCCCCCCCCCCCCCCCTGAGTTGTTCGCCCCGATCGCCGCCTCCGACATACCTCCGACGCCGTGAGATTACGGTCGGGAACTCTTGGATAACGTGTCGCTCCGCCAGTCCAGCCCCGCGTCGCTGCCCGTGTAGGTCCGTGTTCTGGCACACACGTGCAAGATCCTCACGGCCCGAGCGTGCTCCGCCGCACGCAGCTGTCTCCCCCCTCGAGCCCTCTTCGTCTTCCTCTTGTGCCACCTTGTGCCCAATTCGGCTCCGACGCGTCCCCCACCTGTCTCGACCGCTTCTCCGAGGAAAGTTGTCGCTGGCAAAAGTCGTTCCGCCCGTTCTGGCCCACGGGCGCTTCGGAGCGGCACGAGTTATTCACTTCCTGGCCCCCTACCTAGCGTCAGCGTTCCGAGCCTTTTTTTCGAGCCTCCCGCCCCGCGGAGCGGAGCGACGCCCTGTCCGCTCGCGGGATCTAGCGTGTCGCCGAGGCCGCTGCCGCGACACGCTGTGCAGAAGTTCCCGACAGCACTTTCGACGCCGTGATTCTCTCAGTGCCCTTTTTCTTGTTGCTATGGAGCTCTCGTCCCTGTCAACCAGGGCTGGACCTCATCGGTGTGTTGATGGACTCAGGCTGTGTCTTGTTTCTCGTTTTGGCAGGGAGGTTCAGGACAACAAAACGAAAAACAACAAAACGAAACGAACAACAAAACGAAAAACAACAAAACGAAAAACAACAAAACAAAACGAAAAACAACAAAACGAAAAACAACAACGACAACGAGGATAGCAAAACGAACAACAAAACGAAAAACAACGTGTAGGTCCAGCCCTGCTGTCAACACTTGAGCGGCAAAAAAAAACACGGGGGTCGTCTGTGTTGACGCTGGCGCGCAGGCTGCCCGCGAAGAGTTCGCGCGGGAGCGCCCTCGTCACCAATACACCGCCGCGGCGTAAGGTCGCCATGCCATCTCGCGTAAGCCCAATCACCTATTGGATCAAGAATTCACTGACAATAAAATATTATTTTATAAAAAATAATAATAATATCATAAATTCAAGATTAAATATTAATAATAAGAAAAACTAATAATCCTTGGTTTCCATAATTTCTTGTGGTTAATCTTCAAACTTACCAATCTGTATTCTGTATCTTTGGGAAAATCATATTTTATAAAATCATAGTTTTTAACTTTGGGAATAAATTCCCAAAGTTGATCCCCCCCGTCCGGCGCGCATTGTATTTCAATGGAACGCGCCCCCGTGGGCGCTCGCAGGCGGCTTTTTATTGGGGGGGTCTTTGGGCTCACACTGCGTTGTTGGCCCCCCCCCGATTACTACAACAACCATCATTCCCTACCTAGGCTCTTCCTAGAAGGGTTCTTACTCTCTTAGCTTAAAGGGGCCGGGCAGTGTAAAGCGCCCGGGCGGTTCCCCCAGTCCCCGCCCCGCGGTTCCCCCCAGTCCCCTGGGAGCTTTAGCTTTAGCTTTAGCTTTAGCTTAGCTTTAGCTTAGCTTTAGCTTAGCTGTAGCTTAGCTTTAGCTTAGCGTTTCGCTTAGCGTTTCGCTTAGCGCTTAGCGCTTAGCTTTAGCTTAGCTTTAGCTTAGCTTAGCTTAGCTTTAGCTTAGCTTTAGCTTAGCTTTAGCTTAGCTTTAGCTTAGCTTAGCTTAGCTTAGCTTTTAGCTTTAGCTTAGCTTTAGCTTAGCTTTAGCTTAGCTTTAGCTTAGCTTTAGCTTAGCTTTAGCTTAGCTTTAGCTTAGCTGTAGCTTAGCTTTAGCTTAGCTGTTGCTCAGCTTTAGCTTAGCTTTAGCTTAGCTTTAGCTGTTACTACTAATGCTGCTTTCCTAGGAGTTCCAACTCCTAGGTAGGGTCGCACTGGGATAATTTGAAGATTGCTCGCTCGCATCTGCTCGCTTGCCACTCAGCACGTACAGTCGGGGCCCTGAAGAAGGAACCCTTTTCGTTGGGGAGGGGCTCCGTGTTCCTTGATTGTTTCGCAGCTTGCCTCAGGGTTTCCTTATGTTTTCGATGGGAAATCGAAGTTCCCTACCTAGGCTCTGCCTAGAAGGGTTCTTACTCTCTAGCTTAAAGGGGCCGGGCAGTGGAAAGCGCCCCGGGCGGTTCCCCCAGTCCCCGCCCCGCGGTTCCCCCCAGTCCCCTGGGAGCTTTAGCTTTATCTTTAGCTTTAGCTTTAGCTTAGCTTTAGCTTAGCTTTAGCTTAGCTGTAGCTTAGCTTTAGCTTAGCGTTTCGCTTAGCTTTTCGCTTAGCGTGTAGCTTAGCTTTAGCTTAGCTTTAGCTTAGCTTGAGCTTAGCTTGAGCTTAGCTTTAGCTTAGCTTTAGCTTAGCTTTAGCTTAGCTGTAGCTTAGCTGTAGCTTAGCTGTAGCTTAGCTGTAGCTTAGTTTTAGCTTAGCTTTAGCTTAGCTTTAGCTTAGCTTTAGCTTAGCTTTAGCTTAGTTTGGCTCAAGTCCGTAGCCCTTTCGGGTCAGGACCTGGCCTCACTGGCAAGGGGGGAGCAGCGGCCCCCACAGTGCTCCTCCTCGTCTGCCAGGCCAGACGAGGGATTTTGGCTTCTCCCGCTCTCGAGCTGCTGTGGCATGGTCCCCGCGCCCCCGCAGCCCCGCTCCCAGAGCAGACACCAGACCCGCTCCCAGAGCGGCTACAAGACGTGCTATGGCAAGAGCTCATGTGGCTATCAGTATAATCTGGTGGATTGGGCTCGCTGCTATCGTTGCAAGAAGTGGCTCCGCGACGACCCGGTTCGGGACACGGTCAAGGGGCCCCCCCGTCCTTGGTCAGGCGAGCAGCAGTCCAAGGATGCATGGCAACAGGTGGAGTCCACGCGCCGCAAGGCCAAGTCGGGCCCAGGCACGAGTGCTGACCAATCCCAGTCTGGGAGTGGGAAGGGCGGCTCGGCCCAGCAGCGCAGTGGCAAAGGCTCGGACACAGGTGGCAAGCAGACGCAGCGCGACTACCTCGCGGCGGCAGTGGAGCAGCTCACGCTTGCTGGGCTGGCTGACGACCACCCGCTCATGGTGGCCGCCAAGGCTCAGGTGCCCTCCGCGGCTGCTGCCCAACCTGACGAACGTGGCCCACCGCCATGGATGCGAGTTCGGTCCCATCAGGACAAGCTGGCCCACTTCCAGGGCCAGCTTACTGCGTCGAAGGCGACGGAGGCCAACCTCCGTCAACAGATCACGGAGCTGGAGCAGGACCTGGAGGACTGCGTTGCATCCCAGGCGGCTCTGGCGGAATCGGTCAAGAAGGAAGAGGAGGAGCTCCAGAGGCTCCATCGACGTGCTGCTCTTCACCCTGCTGGCGATGACTGCAAGGCGGCGGTCAACGGGCTGGTGGAGACGCTGTTCGGCCATCTGCCCGAGTCGTTCAGAGTGGCGAAGGCGGACCAGCTCCGCACCGCGGTGGACCTCCTGGGCGACCTGGCTGCTGCTGGGGCCTCTTTCCAGGAGCAGGAGGAAGCACGGCGGAGGGCACAGGCCGAGGAGGCCGCGCGGCGTGCCATGTCGGGCAGCGGCCCTTC